ATTAGTTACCGTTTTTGCAGGCTTTGTTCAACCCATAGAAATCTACAGGGTGGTCGAGTGTACCAATTTGATCGAAATTAAACGACCTCATGCATTTATTTTTATGATATTTAGTATGTTATAAAAATATCCGTAGACTTTTCCGATATGTGTAGCTGGAAATAGCAGAAAAAACCTCTTACTTTTCATTAGTCGAGTCTCGTCTGAGGTATGGTATCGTTTTCTGGGGTTTATGTAGCAAGCAGTAGATGCAAGCAGTTGATGCAATCAGTGTCTGTTCTACATAAAAGGGCGATAAGATATATATGTAGAGCCAAGCGTTTGGACCACTGAAGACCACTCTTCATAAAGAGTAGAATACTAACAATCTACTGCATCTTCATTCTAGAAACAATATGTCTAATTCAAATGAAAAAATACTTTCCCTTCCGAAAGAATATATAAAACCCGGCAAAATGCCAATATACCTCTGCTTAAGCCGACTTCAACGTTAACAAAAAATTCAAAAATTTCATAGTATTTGAGATTCGGAAGATTTCAATCATCTACCATTTGAAATGAAAAGTATAATAGAGCCAAAAACATTCCGAAAACGTGTGAAAGAACTTTTACTCACGAAAGCATATTATAGCTTGGAATAATATCTTGAAGACAGATTTTTAGTACCTCAACCCTTGAGGTCGAACCGACTGATTTATTTATTTTATCTATACATGTAAATCAATTCTTAACTGATTTGTAGAATCTTATGTCCAGTTTACATGTAGCGTTAGCATCTATTTATTATTTATAACACCTCGACACGTGTGATCATTTACAAAGAGGAAGATTAAAACTAGAAACTAATACGAGCTAACCCTATTTATGCTATAAAGGTAACCCATACAGGTAAACCATCCAGGCGTACCAACTATACAGGTATTCCAACCTAAATTAATTTTACAATTTTGCCGTATCTATTATTTTACAATATATGTTTATGATTGACAGAGGTAAGGAAAAGTCCCCATAATGCTGTTTGATTTAAAACGTGTTCACCGGAAAACTGAAACTCATTTAGAAAAATAACCACAATGGAGTGTAGGTCGATATTTTAGAAAAATTGAAGTTCATTGTATTAGTTTGAAAATGTCCATACAGGACGAAACTGCAGTAACGATAATCATAAATAAAAATGGTTAAAATAAAGAAAGTTTCATTTCTCATTTTTTATTATGATTTCCTACCACGTAGTAACGACCACATCAATCAATTTATTTTTTATTTTAAACTGAATAAGGCAAATAGCGAACATTACACACCTTGTTGGAAAAATAGAATCGCAAACAAACTTGGTACTTTGATCTCATCAACAGTAGTAACAAGAATCAAAGTTTTTTCATAAAGATACTAATTTTAAAATAATTACTACTGATTACAAGTACTACAAAAAGTGCTCATCATTCGTAGTACCATAATTAGTCTTACTGCGTAAAGTTTCGAACAAATG